ACTACAACGAACATCTACCAACACTGTTGGTTGCCTTATGCATGCAAATTATACACAAAATGGGATCACAAAGACTGTCGAATAAATGGTTCTACCCTAAGCCCATAGCCAGACAAGGAACAGGAAATAAGGCTAAACCATTCATTCTATGGCTATATGATTCTAATCGTATATAGTTTTAAAGCATATACTTATCAATTAACCATGTCAATATAAATCCCATCTAACACATAGCATCCAATCCCCCTAGGCTACAAGGCATCACACAAATCAAGAAATTCTAGAATTCGATTCCTGAAGGTATCCTTAGCCATACTCTAGCATGCAATTCACATATTAGCATACTAACATAATACTTATGTATGGTATTTTGGGAACAACTTACATGAGCTTGGCTGATTACACGCGTCACACCCCTTTATTTGTAAAATCCTTTTTATAAAACTTATTTTCTTTTTAAAATATTATCAATTCCTCAATTTGAGTCCAGACATACCAGAGAGTGTGCCTGAATCCCTCAAACCAAGGCTCTGATACCAACTTGTAACATCCCAAAATATCGATAATTTTTTTTTTAATCCATCATGTGTTCCAAAATCAAACATGATATAAATGTACCTCAAATATAAGAGTATAACAAAATTCGTCAATGCAGAAAATCATAGGGGATACGATGTGCAGTCAAGTCAAGCCCTTCCCTTTAGAACTGAAAGTACCTGAAAGTGTTAGACCACGAAACCGTAAGCACAAAGCTTAGTAAGTTCTCCAAAATACCACATAACATACATAATATTGGGCCCCTCCATTCATATCAAGCCCCATCCATCATATTGGGCCCTACCCATCATATCAGGCCCCGCCCAACTTACAAACCAGCCCTGCCCAACATACAAAATGGGCCCAACCCAGCATACAAAATGGGCCTATCCCAACATAAGAAACGGGCCCAGCGCAACATATCAATGCAAGAGTCTCAAATACAACTAGCATCATACACAGTATAGTGAGAAAACTCACCTTAATTTGAAGACAGACAAATCTCACACTCGAGTTGCTGATACTGGAACTCTTCATACTAATCATATACACAATAAGATTCTAATTAGAAATTAAGGTAATAATCCATACTCAAGGGTCTTGGTTCTTAGTTGCTCTACTTGGGGTAAAAGTGTTGGATAAGGTGTCTAAGTCCATAACTATATTTGAGATGTACTTGACCCGACCCGGCATGGTCCATTTTGGTTGCAGTTCACCCGAACAATTTATATGGATAATCTTTTGAGAATAGTATAAGTTATGATTTATTAATATATTATAATTTCTAATATATTAATATGAAATCATATTATTTAATTAGTATTGATCTAAAATTAATTTAGAATTAATTTAGTGATTAAAAGTGTGAATATGGACTCTTGTATTTATATAGTGTGGGCTAATGCTTATTTAGAGTGGGCTAGGCTTGCATGGTAAGTCCATGGATAGTCCATGGAGCTTTAACTCATGGATCTCATGGAAATAAAATGTCATGGGTATTAGGGTTTACATGGATGTAACCCTAATCCACCACACTATATAAAGGAGTCCTTAGCACTTGAAATGGAACTAGTTTTGTGTGAGAACTACGGAGGGCTGATTTCAAGAAGTTTTCTCTATTCTCTCAAGTTTCCAAGGTTTGTGGTGATTTGTGACTTCCATTTGAGGCATCCACATTATTAGAATCATGCTCTCAAACTCCAAGCAACCAACAACTACTAAAAGGTATGTAACTTTACTAGCTTACTATGTTTCAAAGCTCTCCATGTCATGCTAGTTAGGTTAAGAACCTTAGAAAAGCAAATTTGCATTTATCTTAGTAAAACATAGATCCAGGATTTCTAGGGTTGCATGTACACCATAGGAGTGTTAGAATGCTCAAAACCCTACAAAAAGACCATTTAACCCTTTCAATACTATAAGCCACTCCACTTAACCTAATTTCCATTTTGTCCAAAAGTCAACCTTCTGGTGCTACGCCCAACGTAACACCATGCTTTACGCTCAGCGTAGAACCTCTAATGGAAAGTGGTGAACTTCCAGGGTAAGCTAAGCGTAGCTCGGATTACGCCCAACATAACATGTTGATTTACCGACTTTCTAATAAGCTCTTAATACATAAAGACCAACCATCCAATCCTCATATCTGGATTTAATGAAAGTCCTAAGCGGTAAAGTATTTGACTTTATGCCTTTGCATGGCTAAAAAGAACACAAGGCCAAACCCTAATTCTATAAAACATTCTAATGCTCAAGAGCTCATACATGGATCGATTGGAGCGACTAAGCTCCCATTTTTATGACTCTCCAATCTCAGAATCGTCTAGAAATGATACTCATAAGGTATGGGTAGATCAAACACATTAAGACCAGGGTTATGGGACAAAAAGCATAAAAACTCATATGCCAACTAGATCTATCATAAAATAACATCAAGATGCAATCTTTATACCTCTTAGAGGTGGATGATGAAGTGAAAAATCTAGATCTATAAAGCTTGTAGCTCACAAATGCTTCTTCAATGGACTCCTTCTTCAAAAAATGCACACAAAGCCACACCAAGGCTTCAAAACTCTCACAATATGGCTATAGTTTCGAGGTCACTGAATATAAGGTGGAGGTTGAGCATGGGAATGCCTGCAAGGAGTTAGGGCCTTTAGATATGGGTCACAACCCCTCAAGTAGGGTTTAGATGATGTGCCCATACGATCAACGTTATTTTGTCTATGCCCAACGTAGGGCATTAAACCTACACATGGAATCTTTTACCTACACCCAACATATGACACCCAAAATGCATAAATGGCAAAATTAAACTTTACGAATTAAGCCTGCAGATACATGTGTTACACATTAATAGCAATTTTGGCTTCAACACTTTCTTTCTACATCTCTCTTATTATATATTTTCTTTTACAAGAACCACAAACCACATTAACCACCAAATCTAGTTGCTTAAAGAATTCATGAGCACCATCATGATTATTTGCTAGTGTCACAACCACTAACTGAAGTTGGTGTGGTAAACAATGTACATAATGTACGGAACTATTATCTTTTAATATCAAAGATTTCAAACCAACGAGCTTTGGAACTCTACTATGAAAAGGACAACTTGTGAGATGAGCTTTTAGAGATGAGGCCTTCTAGTGAAACCAAGCCAATTTCAGGCCACCAAACCCTACAACTGATGAAAAGGCCCTATGGTATGGAGTAACGGGAAGCGTGTACTTTGTCACACTCCCTGTCTTCCAAAGATACCTAGAGGAAATATACCGCTCATATTACTAGCTCCATCGTAGGGGTGGAAAATCATGTTATCGTGTTGTGTTTTAGTCTGACACGACACAACAAGATGTCATGTTTTTTTAACTAACATGAAAACAAACCAATTAAAAAACAACAGAAATGACATGACACGCCAAAGATAACATAAAATAACAGCTAGTTTATTTATTTAATTTTTAATCATACATAACCGAAAAACACGACAAATAAATGTTAAATCGTGTCGAATTTTAAACATGAACACGACATTGGATTTTTTTACACTTGATACGAACACGACACAAACACAAATTCAAATTTCAGTTTCATCCTAATTTTGTTTCATGTCGTGTATTTTTGTCGTATCATGTTACCAATTGTCACTCCTACTCCATCGTAACCTTGCCCCCCCTCACCTATTTTTTTCAAATAATTGACAAAAGATTAAGACATCAAAAAAAAGGATTCAATATCGTAATAAAGAAATAAAGAGTTTATAATTTCTTACCTTAGTCACACTCAAGTTGTTGTCTGTAAATACAAAGTGGATGGCGGCTTTAAGAGTTAAAAAAGATATATCAATCATGTGGACAACTCCAATAAATCTTTCCTTCATAATTGCAAAAGAAGATCTTGTTTCCCATTTGGAGCATCAAAATAGAATGGCCTTCTAGCTTTTTATTTCATTAAATTTGGGTTAATAAATTTAGACTACCTAAAAACTTTAGGCTACTTTATGTTTTGGCTTATAAGTTAGGAAAAACTCAATTTTTTTTAAGGGTAGCCTATTTTTTTTTTCAAAGGTACTATTGACATATAGAAAAATTGCAAAAAAATTAACTACTCGGTAAAATTTAATAAAATTTAAAGGATGAAATGATTGAATGATCATTAACTCTTCAACATTGAAAGTATATCCCTTCTCTTCTACCTCTCTTCCAACATCTAGCTAAGTGAGCACCATTCACCTTAGTTTACAGGGTTGGTAGAAAAAAAAGAGTAAATTACACGAATGATCCCTATGATTTGGGGTAATTTGCACGTTTGGTCCTTTACTTATTTTTTTAACTTGGAAGGTCCCTATTGTTTGCTTTTATTACGTGTTTAATCCCTACTGTTTTTTTTGTTACGCACTTGGTCCCTATCTTACCTAAAAATATTATTATTTAAATAAAAAAAATTGTTGGGTAGGTAAGGTAAGATGAAGATGAAGAGGGTGGGGTTGGAGTGTATTTATCTAAATAAATTAAAAAATCAATGGCAAAATAGTATTTTTAGCTAAGACAGAGACCAAACGCGTTTACAAAAACAAACAGCATGGACCTTCCGAGTTAAAAAAAAATAAGTTATGGACCAAACACGCAAATTACTCTAAACCATAGGGACATTCGTGTAATTTACTAAAAAAAAAATGATGATTATGATGAATAGATATTTCATAGATTGATAGTGCTAAAAATAAAATTGAATAGCTATTTAATTGATGTATTCAATTTAATTGATGATATATCAATTAAATAGTATAAAATTCAGTTAGAATATGAATGCTATTATGTTTGCATTTTGCATTATATTGGGAAAAAAAAATTTACCATGAATATTATCATATATACTAGTTTTCCCCATAAATCCCAAATATGGGTATGTTATCCATTAAAATAAAACCACGATCGTCACCCCCCTCGGACCCTCCCCCTTACTTTTCTCTCTTCCACTTCTCTTCGCCCCTCTCTCGTAACCTCTCATTTCTCAAGAACAAAACATAATTTTTTTCCCTGAAAACAAAAGAAAAACAACTTTGGAAATTCAAATCGGTACGAGAAGAAACCCTGTTGTGTTGTTCTTCATGTGTTAAAATGCAGCGGAGAACGGTGACGATTAAGTGGGATCAGTTAGATGACTTCATTGATGAAGACGATGAATTCTTTGAAAGCACGAATCGTCTCTCGGCGGTTGTCCCTCTTGACATGCCTTTATCAGAATTCGATTATGATGAAAACGACCAAGATTTTGATGGTAGTAACGTTTCTTTCAACAAACTTTCATCGATCAACTCAGTCAAGGGAAATCAAAACTTTATGATTAATTCTCAATATGACATGTGGATGGTTGCACCTGGGTCAATCACCGACCGACGAAGGCGGCTTCTTGAGGATATGGGGTTGAACAACGACAAAGATTTTACTCGGTTAACCACCAACAAACTCAACAAAGCATATACGAAAAGATTGGTTTCGACAAAACCTGTTATCACTTCGCTAGACACAAAAATAGCAGACGAAAAACCAAATGTTGTTTCAGACGTAAAAAAATCTTCAACACCTTTAGAAGAATCTAAACATGTTGAACAAAAGCAGCATGAGTCTCTCCCGTCGGCTGAGACTCAACCTCAACCCCCACCTCAGTCTCAAGCTCCGGCTAAACTTCATTCACAGGCCCACCATCCCCAGTCTCAACCTGAACCACAACCACCACAACCTCGGCCGGCGCCTCAGGCTCATGTTCAGACCCAAGTTCAAGCTTCAAATTTTCCTGTACTGTTAATCCGTTCTAGATCCGATGGTGACATAGATACAAGTTCCTTCAACACGAAACAACGGAAAGAGGAACTGATTGGATCAATTTCTAAGCAACGCCTTACAAGAACATCATCTGAATTGGTCACACCATCTGTCGGATTACCATGTCAGTATGCCAACGTTGTTAGAGTTTTCACACCAGGACGAACAAAAAAGTCTTCGGTTGCTAAAGCCAAGAACAAGGACAACACTAACAATGCTACCACTAACACACAATTGGATTCTTTCTTCTTGATCAAGAATCTGGATACAGGGAAAGAATTTGTAGTTAAAGAAACCAATGAGGAGGGCTGGAATAAGGTGAGTGATCTTCAAACGGGGAAGCAACTCACAATGGACGAGTTTGAGAAAACCGTCGGGCATTCACCTATGGTGAAGGAATTAATGCGGAGAACAAGCCGCAAGAAAAACGGCAACGTCACCGGAAAATTGGCTTCCACCAATTCTTTAATTAGCAAGAGCTTTAGAAATAGCAAGAAGAAAGGAGCTGCAATATTGAAGACCATAAAAAGTTCGGTGAAAGGATCGAAGGTAGAGAAAGAAAAGGATGATAACGTAGCAACTAAGACAACCACCACCACCACAAATAACACTTCTTCATCTTCCTCTAAGACAAGCGGAGAACAAAAAACCAGTGGCCAGCCAAAAACCAGTGGAGAACTAAAACCCAGCGGAGAACAACAGAAAACTAGTGGAGAACTAAAAACCAGCAGAGAACAACAGAAAACCAGTGGAGAGCTGCAGAAAACAAGCGGAGATCAACAGCAGAAAGCCACCGTAGAACATGAGAAAACAGGCGGAGGACAGCCGAAACCTAGCGGAGAACAGAAAACCGTGGGAGGACAGAAGAAGTGTACTTGTGTAGAGCAGAAAGCGTCAACTGACAAGAATTCCAATTCAGAATGGGTGAAAGCTAGAGCTCATGGTAAACCCGTGAAGGAATTCTCAGCATTGCATCTATGTCAAGAAATCCAGCTGGCTCATGATGGTTCGATTTGGACGATGAGATTCAGTTCTGATGGTCAATATCTAGCCACCGCTGGGGAAGATACAGTTATCAATATTTGGGAAGTGCAAGAATGCGATGTTATGTCAATGCGATTAGAAGACGTCGACAAGGGTTCAATTACTCCTGATAACAGGCCACCATTACCAGATAGTTCACCCATGCCCGCAGATAAGAAAAAGAAATCCAAGAACAGTAAAAAGAAAGGGGTTCCTGATTACGCAAAGGTCCCCGAAACTATGTTTGGGCTATCAGATATACCCATTTGTACGTTAGAAGGCCACAAAGATGATGTCTTGGATCTATCTTGGTCAAAATCTCAGGTGATGATCAGTTTTCCATTTCTGTTAATTTTCCTATGGCTATGTATATTTATCTCGATATAAAATCAAGATTTTGTGATCATTAATTGGCAGTTGTTGCTTTCATCTTCCATGGACAAAACTGTAAGACTTTGGGATATGGCAACCAAGAAGTGTCTGAAACAATTTACCCATAGCGATTATGGTACCCAAATAAATTCTAAACAATTTTTAGTTTATGATTGCATTTTCAAGAAAGTGTCCCATGTATCTCATGAGGGAGCTTTTTTGTTGTAGTAACCTGCATACACTTCAATCCAGCTGATGACAATTACTTCATAAGTGGTTCATTAGATACAAAGGTTAGAATGTGGAGCATACCCAGTCGAAAAGTCGTAGATTGGAGTGATGTTCATGACATGATAACTGCTGTATGCTATTATCCTGATGGGCAGGTACAACCTATGCTAATTGGTTTACAAAATAGTTATGGTATTGATATTGATATTGATATTGATCCTTAAGATCTCATACATAATTTCGTCATGGTTAAATCTTTAACTTGAATATAATGAATCTTGTTATGTTCAATTAAAGGGCGCCGTTGTTGGATTACACAATGGGGATTGCAAGGCATATTGTACTGCTGGTATGGATGATTTATCAAGGTAATTAACTTTTCGTTATGTTCACATCTGGGTAACTATCTTTTTTTTTTTTTGTATATATCTAAGTAACAAACTTTTTGGAAGTGTTCACATATGACCATTATGACCTGCTATAGCAGGTTAAATCCTAGATGTGAACGCTTTCAAAAAGTTTGTTACCTAGATGTGTACAAAAAAAATAGTTACCCAAATATGAACAAAACGAAAATTAAAAATTAAATTACATGAATGGTCCCTGTGGTTTGGGGGAATTTGTGGTTTTGGTCTCTAATTTATATTTTTAACTTAAATGGTCCCTACTGTTTATTTTTGTTGCGCGTTTGGTCCCCATCTTACCTAAAAATACTATTGTGCCCTTATTAATTTATTTTTTAAATTAATTTTATTATCTATGTATTTATTTTTTACATATTTAAAAAAAAATTAATAGACCACACATATTTGTATCTCCTCGGATGATCTCTACTGTTTATTTTTAATTAAATTTTTTTTAACTCGGATGATCCTTACTGTTATTTTTGTTACGCGTTTGATCTATGTGTTATCTAAAAATAGTATTTTTCCCTTATTAATTTTTTTAATTAATTTTCTTATTTATGTATTTATTTTTTATAAAAAAAAATTAATATACCCCACATATATGTATCTCATCACCGTAAACCTGAAACCACATTTGACAAAATTTAATTTGAGTCTTACCATTCACCATCTCATCTCTGATCCTCCCAATCTTCTATTTCTTTTCCATCTTTAGTAACATCGACGTCTTCACCGTCTTTTTTTTTTGGTACTTCAACTCTGACGAACCAACACCATAACCTACTGTCTCTTCATCTTTAGTGGGTTGTGGTGTTGATTCGACGGAGTTGAAGGACCGAAAAAAGAAGTGATGATGAAGACGTCGATATCACTAAAGATGAAAAATAAATAGAAGTTGAGAATGATGAAAGATGGAATGGTGAGGAGATACAGATATGTGAGGTCTACTAATTTTTCTTAAACATATAAAGCATAAGTACATAAACAAGAAAACTAATTAAAAAAAATTAATAAGGGGACAATAGTCTTTTTAAGTAAGACAGAGACCAAGTTCGTAACAAAATTAAATAGTATGGACCATCCGAGTTAAAAAAAAATTAATTAAAAATAAACAGTAGAGATCATCCGAGGAGATACAAATATGTGTGGTCTATTAATTTTTTTTAAATATGTAAAAAATAAATACATAGATAATAAAATTAATTTAAAAAATAAATTAATAAGGGCACAATAGTATTTTTAGGTAAGACGGGGACCAAACGCGCAACAAAAATAAACAGTAGGGACCATTTAAGTTAAAAATATAAATTAGAGACCAAAACCACAAATTCCCCCAAACCACAGGGACCATTCATGTAATTTAATTTTTAATTTTCGTTTTGTTCATATTTGGGTAACTATTTTTTTTGTACACATCTAGGTAACAAACTTGTTGAAAGCGTTCACATCTAGGATTTAACCTGCTATAGCAGGTCATAATGGTCATATGTGAACACTTCCAAAAAGTTTGTTACCTACATATGTACAAAAAAAAGATAGTTACCCAGATATGAACATACCGAAAAGTTAATTACCTTGATAAGTCATATTCCCTGTATAAAATACCAAAAAAATTCAATTTTTTGTTCTACACGAGTTTACCCTAATATTATGTTTTAGATTGCAAACTCGAGCAAAAGGATCAAATTGAGTTGCATACCAAAGCAAAAGCCGACCCAAAGAAGATAACCGGTTTTCAGGTAACAATAATCACTTTGTTCTTATCATAAGTAAAACATTTTTTTTTGTTATATACATGCTTTAAGCCATCTAATTAATTAATCTTGTGACATGCAGTTTTCTCCATCAAACCAATCTGAAGTATTGGTTACATCTGCGGACTCCCGTATTAGAATTCTAGAAGGGTCACATGTCGTGAATAAACTCATAGGTACACCTTTCCCTCCTTTTCATTTTTTTCACAAAAACCCTCTTTTCGAAATAGATAAAAAGGCATTGTTTCATTTACAGGTTACAGAAATACTAGTAGCCAGTTTTTAGCTCAATATAGTTCAGATGGGAAGTACATAATTTGTGCTAGTGAAGACTCACAAGTATTCATTTGGAAGCATGAAAAACCAAAAAGTAGTGGTGGTGCTAAATCCAAATACGTGACCACTACTTCTTATGAACACTTCCCATGTACAGAAGTTACTGTCGTAGTACCATGGTCTGGAAGCAGCAAACTTCAAAGGTTAGACAATGAACCACAATCCACTCGACACTCCAAAAGATTGGGTCCAGATCCTCAAAAGTCAGAGGATAACGTACAAGCTAAGAAATCATCACAGTTGCCACCAGTTCCTAAAAACAGTACAGAAAAAGGTACAAATTCCACTGTAGACAACTCAGAACAACCTTCTCGTAATGAGTCAAGTATCGGGGTTAGCGATTCCGGTGATACTTCGTCGCGGTTAGACGGTGGTAATAACAATACTGCACAGTCTACAGCGTGGGGGTTGGTGATTGTGACTGCGGGAGTGGGTGGTGAGATCAAGGTTTATCAAAATGTTGGGTTGCCGGTTAAGGTTGGAACAAATTTGTTTTAAGAACTCAATAATTCCAACGTTTTCTACTATTAGCATTCGTAAGTTGTAAATATGTACAAAGGATTTAGAGAGAATGAAAGAGTAAATCAGGTAGTTATGTAGAAACTGAGGGCTAAATATGAGATTATGTGGAAATGAGCATTTTTATTTTTGTTGAAAAACCATTTATTTTTGTTGAACAACCAACTGAGTTTTATCAAGTTGAGACTGTGACGAATTTAAAACAAAAAGTTATATGGTTTAGGTTCTTTATATTTTTCAACAAGATAATGTAATTTCTAATATAAATTTATATATAATTTCTATAAGATGTTAGAATTTAGGTAGGTCTTAGGACCTACCTTGAATACATTTTGCTACACCCTTGGAGCTAGTCCGAAAAAATGAAAAAATTATTGTTTGTCTATCACACGGTGCGCGAAGTAGTCACTTATTTTTTAATGTTTTAAGTCTTTTTTTTTTTCTTTTGGTCACTTATTTTTTATATATATTTTTGAGTCTTTTTTTCTTTCTACAACTTTTAATATGTGATTTCACATGTATCTTATATGGTATCAGAGTCGATATTTGCACGTTCTTGCTTATATATATATCCTTCTTTGACCTAATCGAGTCACTGTCTCTGAAAATGAGTGTTAGTGTATTTAATATTGTGTGAAGCGGTCCTTTATGTCTAGATCTATATATGTTGGAGTTAGTCGTATAGCTATGATTTTATTTTAAGGTATGCCAAATAGTAAACAAAATATAAACGAGTGACAACATTGTTCAAACCATAACAAAATATAAGTATAAATGCATTTTTAACTAAATTGTTTGTTTTAAGTTGCACATGATGTTGTCTTATATCATCAAAATAATCTAAATTTGAATCTAATCGACATAGACAATAATGTATTCTCTTCTACTAATTTCAAGTTTTGAATATAATAGGTCATATCGCAACCCTAATTTCTTTTATTTAATATATATATATATATATATATATATATATATATATATATATATATATATATATATATATATATATATATATAACCTTAATTTTGTGTTTATGGATCAAGGCTCACCCTTGCCCTATATTAACTATGTCTCGGGTTGGAGTTTCATTTATCTTGACAATGACTTTTTTTGGAGAGCTAATATGTGACTCCACATATATTTTATAATTACATTATATCATGTGATATGACTGGGTTTTATAATTATTTTGGTATTATATTATAACCCATGGAAACCACGGGCAATATGTTAAAATTTATTATATAAAGAAAAAAGATATTATGAATTGAAGACAAGGGTTTATCGTGGATTTCATATGAACTTTAAATGGAGGCTCAGGCAAAAAGGAAAATTATGATAATGTATCCATGATTTTTTTGGAATACATTAAAATCTGAAAGATTTAATATGATTTTAAAAGACAAATACTATATATTTCGAAAAAAGGTTATTAAGATAGGATTTTGTATTTTCAAATATTGAATTCAAGTTGATTTGGTACAAAAAAAACAGAAAATTATATAAATCATAGAAAAATGTCACATGCCAAAGAGGAATATTAGAAAATGAAGATATGATATTTTAGGTTTCGTTTATGAAGATATGTAGATTCTTTATACCAAATAATATAACCTGTTAAAATACGATAATATCTATAAACAAAATCTTATATTTTTTTATTTACTATATATATATATATATATATATATATATATATATATATATATATATATATATATATATATATATATATATATTTGTGTGTGTATGTGACTAGGATCAAATGAGAACACCTAAGAGCTTAAGAACACGTGAGAACAGATCTGAATCATCCAATTTTTAAGATGTGTGGCTATAATTAATTGTTATTTTTCTAATTATTAATATATTTAAATTTTAGATTAAAGAAAACTATAAAGGGTAATAAGGTAAATAAGCATTACCCTAATTTTGTAAACTCCTATAATTACTCTTTGCCTCTCTATTTCAATAACCTAATCTCATAGAGCATACAATCGACACATTCATCATCTCACCGGCTGATACCTACGCCACTATGCTACTATTATCATCATCGGACCTTGCTACTATTATGAAGTTTTCAAGCTCCGATTTCTTCAATTTGAAAACTAAAGTTTGATTTCTAATTCTCAAAAACCAAATTGAATATTCTGATTTTTTTTTTTTTTTGCTAATCTGATATGAACGAATGGTAATGTTAGCCCTGTTTAATGATTTTTGAACTTTACTTTTTGATTATTTGTATTTGAATTGGTTTTTCTTAATTATAGCTTTCGGTAAGTATTTCTTTAAGGTTGTTATGTCATCTAAATGCAACACTATTGTATTTTTTTGTGAAAAAGAGAGCAAATTCTGATTTTTTTTTTTTTTTTTTTGAAGTTATAATCATTACCGACTAAAAGAACGCAATATTTTTTGAGTTTTAATCGTTAATGAGGTTTACTTTTTGAGTCTATAAGAGGTGTTTAGAAGGTGATTTATTCAGTTGTGTATATTTCTGCTTTTTTGTTTGTTTTTAATATAGATTTATTTATTATCAATGATTATAGTCGTTCTTTATTAATTTCTGGTTGAAAGTGTATTTGGTTAATGAGTTGAGCACTTTGTTTACAATAATACAAAAAAAAAAAAATTAAAACTGATGGCCTAAATAATTGTAATGATGAATGATGAATGAACATCTTCAACAACTTGGAAGGAGTAGAAATGTATTCTATTCATTTATGATTATAGTATATCAAGATATTGTGATTTTCATTTGTGATTATAATTATATTCATATATGATTGTAAATGTGTTTTGTTTATTTATTATTAAAGTTTTAGTTGATGTTTTATCTCTAACTTGTTTATGTTAATTTAAGATTACAATTTTACAACTATATTTTGATACACAACTGATTTATTTATTTACGAGTATAACATTTATCATTTATGAATAAAAAAATACAAACCAATATTTATATATGAATTTGATCAAAATTTAAATGAATATTCCGATAATTCAATCTATTGATATTTGATTCATGATAAAAAAAACCGGTTTTTAGAGATATAGAATAATTTATGGTTTTATTAATTTTAGTTACATTAAAAAAATGAACTTTAAGAATTCAAATTATTGATTTTGTTTAACATGTCTAAAAGAATGCAATACATTTTTTTTTTGAGAAAGTAAAAATAATAATGATATTTGTATCTATTAATAACAAGAAGAAACAAAATTAAAGAAGAAACAAAATTAAATTAATGAGCTTTTTTTTAAACATGATCTTTAAATTATAAAATTAATATTAATATCTCAAGCTTATAGGCACATAATATTTTATTATTAATTATAACTATTATTTATGTAAATTACACGATTAATACCATATGGTATATGTAGGCAATATTTATATTTGTATTCTCAATTCAATGGTTGCTCTCGTGTATGTAATCATATTTGATTTTTTATATATAATCATATATGATTTATATAGACATCATTATTTTTTATCCATATAAATCATATGTGATTAGGTACATATAATCACATGTGATTATATGTATTTAATAACATGTGATTATAGTTAACAAAGAATAATTACTGAATCGAAAATGTGACAATGAATCTTTTCCACATAAATCATATATGATTGGATACATATAATCACATGTAATTATATATATTTAATCAGATATGGTTTATGTAGACAATATTTTGCGGTTTCGATTGAATAATTGTTTTTGTGTATTTAATCACATATGATTATATGTATATAATCACATATGATTTGAGGTGGACAAGATTCATTTTTGTCTTCTCGATTCAATAGTTGTGGTCACGATCTTAATCATATATATATATATATATATATATATATATATATATATATATATATATATATATATATATAATCACATGTGATAAAATACATGAGAACAACTATTGAATCGACAAAGCAAAAATGAACTGTGTCCATATAAATCATATATGATTAGATTCATATAATCAGATATGATTAGATGTATTTAATCACATATGATAAACTTGGATAAAGATTCATTTTCGTGTTTTTGGTTCAACATTTGTTATCGTGTATATAATCATATGTGATTGTATGTATCTAATCATATATGATTTATATAGACCATATTTGTCTTTTCCAAATAAAATCATATGTGATTAGAAACATATAATCACATCTGATTAAATGTATTTAATATATGGGAATAAATTGTATCAATCTACTAAGAATTACATCAGTCCCTTTTATATATGGGAAACTATACATCCATATCTAACTATAGGATTTTGAATTCTAACATTTGGAGTTCTAATGAATTTATTATGATTTTTTTAAAACAATGCATGAAATTTCTTACAGCATGGACCATCCTGAGAAGATTGTCAATTTTACACCTCAAGGATTTGGAATTTAGAAATGTTATTCAAATTTTGAAGAAACTAGACATACTAAGATTTCTAGAAAACTAAGTCTCATGATTTTTTGATGTTCTTATTAACTTGCACGAAATTTGGGAAAATTGATCATAATAGGTTTCAAATCACTTTTAGTTTTCTATTAAGGAATTAATGGTTAAGACTTAAGTTTATCACTTTTTATATGATTGTTGGCTACTTATTAGGCTATTGAGATGTGAAATCTAATTTAACCTAATGTCCTTAATGCTTGGCTTAATGAGCATTCAAAGTTAAGGACTTTCACATAAAATGTCACTATTACACTTATTAGGGTTAAGTTGTCAACTTAACCCATTAAGCTTTTTAAGTCACCTCTTGGAAGGAAAACGAGTCTTACACATAGGCAAATTAAACAAAGACATCAAAATATGTTTGGAGAAACTATGCATGAATATAAAATCCAGCTTATTATCTCAACAACCAAACATTCAAGTTGTTGAATACGTTTGGGAAAATAAAGTCGAGTAAAAAAAATAGGGCAAATTAAACAGAGACATAAAAATGATGCTATTTCAGGAAAAAAAAAGTCAACAAGTACCTACAAACTGCAACATTAAATACACCACCATGTTCTTGATTTATTTGTAGAGGTTTTTCATTGAGGTATTTGGTGTTCATAAAAAATCTATAAGCCGTCACAATGTCTAT